TGCATCAGTAATAGAATGAAATGCATCTAAAGATCTAGGATGCATTTCCACCATTTCCTTTTTTTTCCTACAGGAAGCAAAAATCAGAATGAAATTTGGTGGCTTCTACTAGAAGCAACTTTTTCTTGGCTGTTCTGTTTCAACATCTCCACAAATTCACGGCTTCCCACAGCTGTAACCCTTAACAACCAAATTCCATTCCTAGTGTTTCAAAACAGGGATACTTTCCAATGTATTTTCCAAAACTGGAACCACACATTATGGAAATTCATTACTCTGCAAGAATATAAACACATATGGTAAAATAGGAATGCAAAGGTTGTGCTTTTAAACTAAAACCTAAGTCTGAGTATTTGCAGTATAGGGTGACTAACTTAGAAAATAGAAGTGGGGAAATCCAAAATAAATATTAAAAGGTTAAGAGGATCCTGTGATTTAAATTATTACTGTTTAAACCAACAATTTTAAATCACAAAATAAAAAAAGATGGTTAGAATAAAGCAATTTTATAGAATAATCAGCTATCCAGTTGTTTGATCCTTATGATTTGGAGGATTCAATCAGCTCTGGAATGCTATGGTTCTTCTTTGTTTCCAGACTATTTTAATCATAATTTGTCAAGCAACTGTCTTTAGGATCAAGCCTTGATTTGCAAATTCAGTTCAAACTGTGGTTTCAAACTTATAACTGAGAGTCTAGTCAAACTGTGTTGTAATAACAAACTGTATCTTGGGTAACCTAATGGAGAAAGGCACATATGCAAGAGAATGTTCCCAACATTAGAAATCATACTCTAACATTTAATAACGTAATTAGCATACTTTGAGTAGACCTGCAGAATGACACATTGGTTCACCTTAATTAACTGAAATGTCATTGATTACAATGTCTCTGCTCCAAATATGACTACGCTTGGATCAGTAGAGGCTGATGACTCTTGAGTTGGGATTTATGAATCCACTGTGAGTATTACAGAAGCTATCCAAGGTAATAGACCTATTTTGGAGGCAGAGTTCAGCACTCAACTAGCCTTTGGAAAATTCAGACAAAACCCATAGTGGATTGACTACCCCAACTAAACCAGAGTTATCACTCTACACTGGTCTTAAGCCAACCCGTCATTTAGAATCAAAACGAACTGAGCCATTAAATAGATAATCATAGATTCAGCTGTTGGGGCAGAAAATCTGTGGCTCTCCAGATGTTACTTGACATCAATTCTTGTTAGCTTAAGCCAGCAGAGGCCATAGTCTGGGATGACAAGAGCTGTGGGCTGACAACAGCTGAAGGATCACATACATAACACATTCCATGTAAATTTCAGTATCTTTATGTTAAATCTAGATTTTCTTTTTAGCCAGTCTTCTTGGAAATACCTAATCAAATTCAAAACATAAAAATAAAATCTGAGTTAAGAAAACTGATTTTTAACTGAAAGCCATTATTTATAACAGAATGATTCTAACAAAAGAACTATCACGTCGTGAATGGAAAAAAAATTTTTTTTTCTAACAAAACCTGTTTATTTCAACTGCCCATCTCTGAAAGCAGGTCAGCTGAGTTGTATGGAGGAACAAATCAATTCACAGACCATTTCAAAGCTGCAGAAGTGTTTATGTAATTATTATAATTTAGCAGAGCTATATTCATGTAAATGTAGCTTTTACTGGCACTATTTTAGAAATCTCTTCTTCGCCCAATTTTACCTCATTATCTGAATTTTTAGAAAAATACAGTTTTTAGAGTTAAATATTTCCCAATTTATCAATATACAAAGCTGATTTATTTTAAACTGAAGCTAAGTATGAACTGTGAAAGTATTTTGAGCCAGTATGGCTCACATTAAGTAGCAGATGATGATTAAGAAGTAGATTAGGGAGTGCCAACACTTCTGTCTGTGATGAGCCATCTATAGCACAGGTGTTTCAACATCACCTACATTATTCGCAGTACTGCAGTATCATCTTTAAGTGTTGGCTGATGGGCTCCACCATCACTGCTCTGCTGGAGGGAGACAAAGAGCTACCTGAATGTCTGAGAAGGCCAAAGTTATTGGCTAGCAGGAGGGGAAAGGGCCAGTCCATGATTTCATTCCAAGGTCAGAGAGCTGACTTGCCAAACAAAAATGATTCAAGTCTATGAGTTATCTGTACCAGGACAGTGGTCAAGGACAGCTTCACTGATCTGAAAGAGCCAAAAACTGATGGAAAGAATACAGAATGTTTCGTTCTCCCAAATGGGATTAATTTAGGCATGTTTCCGCAAGCAGATGGTGCCCTTCTCCTTTTGTTGGAAATGTAAGAAATATAAGAAAGCTATGGACAGAAACTGTGATGCAGTGAATACTGCTTGAATTCAAACACGTAGACCAGGGTTCATGTCCCAGGTCAGCTCATAGGTATTAATGGGCAGCTGGCAGGTTGATGTTGGTGTTAGCGCTGTCAAGTCAAAACTGACTTATAACGACCCTTACAGGGCTTTCAACGTAAGTGTTATATTTAAGCAGAGGTTTTACCAGTTCCATGTCCCTAGTGACCTTCTTGGCTGAGTGGGGATTCAAACCCAGGCTTCCTGAGTCCTAGTACATCACTCTATCCACTACATCATACTGGGTATCCTCGCAGCCTGATGTACCTCACAATTCCATGATCACTGTGAGGAAAATGAGGTAGGGTAGCTGTTCATACTTAACCTTTAATTCAGTTGCAGATATGAATATGATGAGCAAATTTAATGTCATCAATGTACCTGGTGCCAAAAGCGATCAACATATCCCTGCCCAATGAAGAGCCTGCATCTTAACATTTAGACCTGTGAGGAAACAGGCTGAAGTCAGAAAAGTAACAGGAGATGAATATTGTATATGAAAGGTCAAACTTAGATCAACATGCAGGACATACTCCATGGGCATTGAACAACTATCATATTGCTGGTGGAAGCTGCGTGATGTAGTACAAGAGGTTACAACATATGGGTGGGCAGTAAATGGGGAATTCCCCTTATATAAAATTTAGTGTTTATTATTCACAAGACGAGAACAATCTGAAGCCTGGTTAATACACATTTCAGCCACTGACACTACTTCTAACCCTTGCAAACCAAACTTTGTAGTTCCTAAGTTGCAACTGAATTCCATGTATCCCTAGAGAAATATTTTAATGTTTATCCATAACAACTAGGCATTACAGAAACCAAAGACTCCTAAAGAAATCTATGTTAAAGGGTTTATGGGACTCTGCTAAAATAATCTGTGTAGGACATGTATCAGGCGCAACACAAAGCAAGAACATTTCAACACATTCTAAAATGTTTAAGAAGCACTCTTCACAACTCTAGGTTTTATTTGTGAACATATTAACTGAAATCTCTCTCACATACTGTATATGCATACACACGGACGCATGCAGATAGGCATACGATTTTCTCCCTCTGTTTCACATCTTGCAATGTTAAATTCTGAGTATGCAGCACAAAAAAATCAATTGTATTGTACAAAATAACGTCTCAGTTCTAACACTGAGAGCAAAGAACACTTCAGTACAAAATAACAGACTGAACTGGTCCTTTTAAATTCCAGCCACAGCTTTTCCACCACCAGAAATAGATACCTATCATTTCCTCAGATTAGAGGCTTTACACCACAGAAATTCTGGGTTAGATGGTTTTAGCATTATGTTTATCTATGAAATCCTGATATTTGTATTATATAATAAATTCAAAGTTTACATTCCAGGGGATATTTTATATATTCATAAACAACTATACTACTTCTCTCCCTCCCAAGTGTTTTCAATGATGATTTGCTCTAGAACTTATAACCGTCTCTCCCACAAATATTTTCTCTTTAGTTAAAAATACAAGATTGAGTGAAATGGGAAGAGCAGTTTATAAAATGGAACAGGAATCTATACGTATAACTTGGATATTTAGCATTTACCACTCTAAGGCATTATTTATTTTCTCATAGCACTTAAACAGAAGTACATTTTAAATTTCTATATACAAAATTACTTTTTCACAATGACTTCCAACAAGCTGTTTTTAAAACAAACAAACAAAACAAACAAAAACTGTAATTCATCATGAAACGTTGCTCTGCAATTCAGTCAGATGAAAGACGGGTCACAAGAACTGCATATCAAAATACCGAACATGAAAATTTTAGGAAGAGATTCTAACCATCTCGACATTCTTTTAAATGTGAGGGTGGGGTTGCAGGAGAAAATAAGTATTGCTGAAGGAACAGATTTAAACAAGCATCTGTTGTGGGTGACATAGTTACAGCCAAGCTTCTGTTTGATGTACGCTGATTAAAGATCTTCCAAAGAGTCTTAACTTGGCTCCTCAAATTGTACAACCATACTGATTCTGCACCTTTAGAAAGAAAAACCAGTTTTCTTACCTCCTTTGAATAGTCTATGAACATACTCTACTTTTAAAGGTAACAATCACAGAATCTATCACTTACTGCAAAATCATCATTATGCACAGTGTTATATCATCACTAGTTATTTATTCATTGGGGTTTCTTTCATTTCCATTTAGCTCCTGTAATGCTGAACAGTAACTAGAATTCTATAATCTACAAAAAATGTTAGAAATCCTCATTAATATCAGTGTTTTATTCTCTTTATTTTATCCATCTACCAACCATGGTAAAGTACTATTCTAAACTTGCTTCCCCCTCTCCAAGCCATTTAAATTTTATCTTATTTTTACATGCAGCATGGAAATCATTTTATCTTGTGATTCATTTTTTAAAGCACACAGCAATCAGTTTGCACTAACAGCTTTTCAGCTTCATACAATGAGTAGAGACTGGAATGCCTGAACACAGCTGATGAACAAGCAAAATACCATAGGACTTTCCCCCACATTTAATGTGGAGGGTAAGCCATTCTGTAAGTGTTCATATTTAAAAGATGGGTTGGTTTGTCCAAGAAAATAAAAAGAATTCTCTTATGGTTCACATGCATGCATGCACATACATACACACTTACCAGCCTTCAGAGAAAGCCTGGATGAAACAACACTTGGAAAGATAAGGAGACACAACCTTTTTCTCTTGTAGCTACTCCCCAATGAGCTGTGCTGAGCTTTGGCACTAAGAAAAAGCATCCTCCTGCCTGTGTGAGTTGCTAGCTTGACTGGAAAACCGATACTGGAGTGATGTCACGCTGCTTCTGAAACATTACTGAAGCTCAGAATCGTCAGCACTGTTCTCTCAAGTGAAACACTGTTGTGCAACAAAAATATTATGAACATGAAAACATACAGTATTTATTTGCACACCCCTCATTTCCTCTTCCCAACATTAAAACCTTGAAATCTACTCAGCAAACATGGGCTTCTCTGAAACATCTAAAGAGCAGGGCTGTGTTTTAATGTATTCTTTTATATTTGAGTTTTAGGTTGCTAAGTGAGTTAGAGAAAATGTCAGTTTGGTACCCAGGAGCCCAAGCAAGATCGCTGTAATGTAGGTTTTGGATTCAGCCTGTTGTGAAGGTGACATTCCTAACTGTTTTGAGTACAATGAAGTATTGATTACTGAACTCCTAATATTCCCCTCTTCACAGAAAGCTAACTGAGCACTTGATGATTATTAAGACAATAGACTGGTATTTTTTTTTCAAAATTCATCACAACAACACACACAGTCACTACTTAGTATTAGATTGGATTGTACTCAATATATTTAACAGGTAAATCCTTCAAAAATATTTTTACAGAAGAATCTTAAATCTAAGGTTGACTAAGTTTTTAAAGGACTGAAAGGGTGAGCATTTCACCCCCATGAAGACAGGCATTATATGTTTATCAGGTAAGATTAACTAAACAGTGTTTGTGCCAGGTTCTTATTGATAAAGAAGATTCTACTTTTTTTCCACAGCTACTGGCAGCCCACCAAGTCTCTGAAAACAGATTGTGCATTGTGTGCATGTGTTTTAGAAGGAAAATACATTCTTAACAAAATGTTCCAACGTTTGCAAGCCTATTTTGTTACTTTCAAGGAAGGGCAGAAATACTCTAGAAAAGTCTTCCTAGCAGAAATTGCCTGTAAAGAAAGGAACAATAGCAGTGTTCTCTCTCTTGCTCTCTCTCATAATCATGTACAAGTGGAAAGACATAATTAGGATTAGAAGTAACATTCAGCAGCCACTTCATCTCTTCCTCACCAATGAGTCCTACAGTTTCCAAATCACAGCTTCTCAACCAGGTTTCCATTATCCATCCTTCCTCAATTTATTTTTTTCTTCTCACCCTAGCTTCCAACTTGGGGCGTACACAGGAATAATTCCACCTGACTCCATGTTTTCAATGAACTCAAAAAACTGGATCCTGCTTTATTTCTTTTATTTATTTAAAACCCTGCCTTTCTCCTTAAAAAGGACCCAAGGTGCCTTACATCATTAAAATGCAGTATCTAAAGCTAATAACCAGTAAGTACATAAATACAAAAAAAAGGATCAGGCAAATACCACAAGGAGAAATAGAGTAAGGTGTCATCTGCATACTGGTGACACCAAACCCCCAAACTCCAAACAATCTCTCCGAATGGTTTCATGTAGATGTTAAATAATATAGGGGACAAAACAGAATCCGAAGGGACTCTGCAGGCCAACGACCAGGCTGTTAAACAGAAATCCCCCAGCACCACCTTCTGAGCTCTCTCCTCCAGGAAGGACCAAAGCCACCATAAAATAGTGCCTCCAAGCCCCATCCCAGAGAGATGGGCCAAAAGGATACCAGGGTCAAGGATATGGAAAGCTATGAGAACTTGTACACATTCCCCCGTCCAGTACCTGGCGTAGTCCATCCACTAAGGAGGCCAAAGTAATCTCCATCCCATAACCAGGATTCATCTGAAATGAACCTAGATAATTTATCTCATCCAAAAACTCCTGGAGCTGAGAAACCATGACCTGCTCTAGCACCTTGCCCCAAAATGGAATATTAGAGGCCAACGTACCCTCTAATTTTTCAGCCCTGCTGGGCAGAGCTCTGCCTCTCTCTCACACGACTTCACACCTCCCCCCCACCGGTTCTGTTCCGAACGGAACCAAAGGGGCTGAAAACTATTGCTGTGTGGAGGAGGAAAGCTGTGCAGATGGAGGCAAAGCTGCACATGTCTTTATTAGAGACTGTTGTTGTTTAGTCTTTCACTGCCTCCCAGAGTTGGGTCAAATTCATGTTGGTCGCTTCGATGACACTGTCCATCAATTTTGTCCTCTGTCGTCCCCTTCTCCTCTTGCCTTCACTCTTTCCCAACATCAGGGTCTTTTCCAGGGAGTCTTCTCTTCTCATGAGGTGGCCAAATATTGGAGCCTCAGCTTCAGGATCTGTCCTTCCAGTGAGCACTCAGGGTTGTTAGAGACTGGTCGGTAATAATTCAGTATTGTGGGATCCAAGGAAAGCTTTTTCAACCGTGGTTTTACTATTGCCTCCTTTAAACATAGTGGAATCCTGCCCTGTTGCAAGGAGGCATTCACCACTCCTCTTGCCCACTTGACCAGTCCTTTTCTGGCGGTTTTTATAAACAAGCCAGGACAAGGGTCCAGCAGATATGTGGTAGCCTTCATCTCTCTAAAGCTCCTGTACACATCATCAGTTTCTGGCGGTTTTTATAAACCAGGCAGGACAACGGTCCAGCAGATATGTGGTAGCCTTCATCTCTCTAAAGCTCCTGTACACATCATCAGGCTCCAGGAACTGAAATTTATCCATTAACACAATACAAGCAGGAGCTATAGTTACATTTACAGGACCTGTATCAACTACAGCATCCAAGTCAGAGTAGCTTAGAGCAATTTTGCCTGCAAAGTGTTGTGCAAATTCTTCACAGCAAGCTACAGTGTGGTTGGCATTCTCTTCCGTCAGGCCATGATGTCATAGGCCCTTGACTACTTAAAGAGCTCTATTGGACAACTCTATGCAGATGCAATGTATGGGCTTTAGTTAAGTGCTACCGGGCTAAGAGAAGCAGAGTAACCTCTCTACCTCCTCATGTGTTACACAGAAGGTTGAAGGATCCTGCTGAAAGGGATAACTTTGGGGAAGATGGAAAGTGAGGGACATCACTGGAAGTTAGACAGAGCCAACTTCTAAGAGGTTAGGAAATTTGCTTTCATCAGCCTAGCCAATCACACCCCAAACTGGATTCAACCTAATGGAGCTTCCACTCACTTAAGAACTGTGCTGGATCAGGTGAAAGGCCCATCTAGTCTAGCACAATGTTCACACTAAGGGCAAACAGATATCTACTGGAAGCCTACATATGAATGAATGCATCAGAACTTTCAGATATGAACACCTAGTATAAACATGTACATAGTGCTGTATACACCATGGTTGCTTGCAAGATATTAAAGGCCATATACAGTATAGCCATCATGATTAGTAGCTCTTAATAGCACCCTTCTCTATTGATCTGTCCAATCTCTTAAGCCAGTGTATAACACCACCTCTTGTGGTCAAAATGCTGGACTATGTCTCAGGAGACATTAGTACAAACCCACCCTGAAACTCAGCTAGTGACTTTCAGCCAGCTACACACACTCAGGTGACCTACCTAACAGAGTTGTTGAGAGGATGAAGTGAAGAAAATCATGGAAGTCATGTTGTTATGATAGTGTTACTTGTTCATTTCAAGGCATAATTCAAACTTACCACCTATAACATTCCATGGAACTGGGTTATCAGAAGAACCATATTCTCCCACACAGACTTGGCTCTTACATCTTTCAGAGAATGCTTTTTTCTTGATTTTGACACCTTCTCCCTTTTGTCTACATTTGATGGACGATATAAGAGATGGTGTTCTCAATACTTGCTCCCAAACTGTGGACGGCCCTTCCAAGGAAGGATACAATGGCTCCCTTTTGGTTGTTCATTTACTTACAAACAAACATATTTTTATTCAGATGAATTTTTGGCAACTGACTTGCTGCTACACAAGGGGTATCTAATGAGGAGTGTGATGTGCTTCTGTACTTTTAAATTGAATTTTAAATTGTTTTAAACTCCATTATATTTCATTGTTGAAATTTAAATACCTTTTAACATTGCACCTTTATGTGTTTTATTTGTACCTGGCTTTTTAATCTTTTTGTCAGATATGCTAAACACATAAAGCTTCAGTCCCAGTTTGGGAGAAAGGGAGTGTATAAATTAAGTAAATAAATCAAACAAGCTCCCCAGATTCTGCAGCTTATTTCCTTTCCATAGAAGGAAACCTACACTCTTTTTAAAGTTTTGCCTAGCTGCTTTTTCTCAACACCTAGTTCATTTAAAACTGTGTGAACACTATCTTTTATTATATTGATGCAAGATGACAGGCTTGTTTTATATGCAGGTAAAATTAAGCAACTACAATGTTTTCCCAGGAAACAAACAAGCAAAGAGCTTGGGTTGTCTGGGATAAGATGTATAAAATGGTTTCAGGTCTTGATAGCCACTCACAGCCCCTCAAGTTTCAGTGTTTTCCACCCTCTCCTTTCATCAGGGCATATTCTCATAACTCTTGATCCAAGTATAAATATGAAATGTGCTCCCCCCTCCAAATAAGCATTCATCAAAATTAATTTTCTTAAGCAATTATTCACTACAAGCATTGATGCCACCTCAGCAATATCTTGAGAAGCTGCACACTGTCATACTATAATATTATTCTTTTAAAGAGAGAGCAAGATGAACCTTTCACCAAAAATATTTAGTAACCTATGCTCCCCCTTGTGGGGAAAATAATTTTTTAATATGTACCATCTATTTAGGCAGTTTTCAAAAAATAATACAAACCAATTAGAATTGTTTGCTGTTCTCTGTGATCAGAGGTCAAACGGAGAACACATTCTGCTCCATGTAAAAGCAAATAGGATTTGATGTCCACTTTGGGTCCCTTGTTGGGAGATGATGATGATTAATAATTATAATAATGATAATGATGATGATAACAATAACAACAACAATATTCTCCCTGCCACTAATTGGTGCACTAAAACTAAACCGACCTATTCACATATATGGGAGGGTTATTCTACCTACAGTTATTTACAGGCTATCTACAGGCTAGAGTAAGTCTGACCAAAATGGAATATCCCAAAGATTTCTGCAGACACTTCAGAAAACATAATATCTTC